CAACCTGTCGATGAAGGAGACTAGAGTATTAAAGACTTTCATTTTCCTACAGGAGAGATAGTCAACCAGATCAAAGCCACTATTGACGTTATGGAAGAAATGAAGATTGTGGAGATAATTATTTGCAGTTTATCTCCAAAATTTGAGCATGACGTTGCGGTCATTGAGGAGACAAAAGATTTGTCAAAATTACTAATAACTGAATTGATGGGTTCACTCGTCGCTCATGAGCAGAAGATGAGAAAATTTATCCATCAACCACAGGAGCAAGTCTTTCAGACAACAGTCAACATGGCAGAAGCTAAGAATACCAAGCAGGATCAAGACCATAGAGGAAAATCCAACGTCAACGACACCCGTACTGCATTACGTGTCAGAAGATAGGACACACAAACAAAATTTTGCAAGTTCAAGTGCAAAAGGTCAGGAATCCAAATCACTCCCAAAGAAATTATTGGTTCTAGAAGAAACAAGAAGATGAAGAAGAAAACTTAATTCAAGGTGAAGACATCAGTAAGATTCATTCTCGTACATCAAGGATGATAAAAATTCACAACTGCGAATTATGGATTAAAAAGGTTTGTGAAAGCTACTAATTCACAATTCTCTATACCCATCGAGTGGTGCCCACAATTATGCAAGTTTCCAAATAAACAAAAGAAAAGCCTATAATTATCTAGCTTGATCGACAAAGCCTACAAGGGTTAGGAAATGGGAAGAGACAAAAGTCTCATGTCACCCAACTTACCAACAGCTAGCTTGGAGAACCCAAGCCATACACTAAACCTACTACCTAATAAAAATCATGATATTTCCTCTCGTAAGTTGGTTCTGTTGAACTATAAATAGGAGCCTCATACGAGGCATGTAATTGGATTGTGTGATATTGAGAGCTCTTTGTAAAGGCAATAATTGTCTAGTTGTGTGAGATATAAATATTAGAGTGAAACAATTTCTTATGATATTTTCGATCCTAAAATCCCATTATATTTTCATTGTGCCCAAAGTACAATTTTGATTCTGATGTCGGTCCGATTATGATTTGATTCTAGTGTTTATCCAGCCTCCGATTATGATTTGATTACGTTTTTTACGTGTTTATCCGTCCCTTACAAGAATCAAAGCGGACTTCCTCCCTAGCACAGATCGAAAGATTTTGCAATCTGGATTTCTGGTGAGCATGTTCTCTCTTCTGCAATCCTGTCAAAGATCCAGCCATGCAATTTGGTGGCAGTGACAAAGGATGAGAAGCGAGCAACACCTGCTTGAGATGAGCCTAGACAACCAAAGATATTTGATGAAATTTCTTGAGCGAGCACAAAGGTGCAACGAAAGATATAGATGAAGAAATCTATATGGAATTTCCCCCAGGGCTCAATCAGTTACCACCGTACAAAGGAAAAGTATGTAAACTCGAGTTATTGGAAGAAAGTGGATAGTTCGCTAGCATGGTATTAGAGTCTGATTGGCTATGAATTCCCTTCTCGAGTTTATCCTTTTTCCCTTTCCTTGATTTCTCTTTTCTGTAACGGCGATGGCGTCTCAATCTAGAGGAGAAGATAGTGCCACGCATTAAGCCAAGGGTGGAGATAGCAGTACCTCATGTCAGATTCGTTGTAAAGACCCATACAACAATCCCTTCTTCCTGGCCAACAGGGACAACTCCTTCCTTCCCGTCATCGGTTTCAAACTCACAGATGACAACTACCTGCTATGGAGTGAGTCGATGGAGGTATCCTTGAAGACAAAAAAACAAGTTTGACTACGTGGATGGCTCGACTAAGGTTCCAAGTGCTCAAGATCCCGTTATAGAACCTGGGAAAGATGTAATGGAACAGTAGTATTGGATTCGTAACTTTGTTTTGGATGATATTGTTACAACCCTTAGTAGCATCAAATATGCTGCTGATGCTTGGATTAATCTGAAATCAAAGTTTAGTCAAGGTAATTCCCTTCGCAAAGCTTATTTGCAGGAGACCTTCCAATCCCATTTTGTGATTGTGCATCTAGAACATACACCACTATGATAAAATATCAGGAGAATGATATGGTGATTCGGTCTTTATTAGGGTTGAACCAAAACTGCTAGCAAGCTAAAACCAATATGATTATGCTAGAACCCTTGCTTGATCTTGACATAGTTTATATGTCTGTTGTGCAACTTGAGAGGCAGATGAATGGGTCTAGTCTAACAGGTGGCAAGGGGCAGATGCTATAGCCCTAGCAGCATTCGGTAATCAAATAAAAACAATCATTTCCCAAAGGAAAGAGCTGTTGATACAATGTCTAAAGGTTTATTAGGAGTGTCTCATTTCAATCCTCCAAGTCCTGGAGCATACCAAAGAGGTTCATCTAATACAGAGGCACGAGCATTATTGGCCAATTTCTCCACTACGGTTGAGGAATTGGGGAAGCTGAGGCATTTCTTTAATCAGCTATCACTTTGTCAGGCCTTTGGATTTGTCCCAAGCTCACCCAAAATGCACTCTTCTCCCATCCAGGCTAACTCAATGACAGTGAAAAACCATTGCAAATCACCAATGACAGGTAGTATTACTCTCTCTTCATCCCAAAATGAGTATGACGAGGGACTATGGGTCCTAGATACCGGAGCAAGTGGCCACATAGTGTGTGAAATCATTTTTTTCCTTAGGTGTAAACCTGTTCAGGGCATTACAGTAACACTACCTAATGGAGAATAAACACCTGCAACTCACATTGGTATAGTTAAATTAGAGTGTGGAATCTTGCTTACTAATGTACTGATTTGTCTCTCGACAGAGGATTGGTTCAATCCAAGTCACTAAAGGTCTCTACTTATTGGGAGATTCCAGGAGTCAGTCATCCCATTCCAAATTTTTTCCCACCACTTCAAAGAGCACTCATAAAGACTCAGACTTATGATACATGAGATTAGGGCACCCATCATTGTCTAGATTACAGGAATTACACAAAGATGTTGATAGTATAGTTTTACCTTTCTCAAAACACTGTGAGGTTTGTCATTTGTCAAAACAAAAGTGATTACCCTTCAATAAGAGCTCTGGTACTAGTGATGCTATTTTTGACCTTGTTCAAATTGACATTTGGGGACGAGTGGATGTAATTTCTATTGATGGATTCAAATACTTCTTGATTGTGCAAGATGACTGCAGTTGATGTGTATGGCTTTTTATGACGACTAACAAGTCCGAAACTAAACACCTTGTTCATTCCTTTTCTGCTATGACATTGAATCAGTTTCGCAAAAAGATTAAGGTGATAAGAACTGGCCAAGAACAGGAATTCTGTATGCCAGAATTTTACCTAACTCATGGAATAATACATGAGATGAGATGTGTCAGAACTGCTCAGCATAATGGAAGAGTAGAAAGAAAACATCAACACTTGCTAAATGTTGCAAGGTCATTGGAGTTTCAAAGTAACTTACCAATTAGTTTCTGGAGTTGCTTCATTTTACATGCTGCATTTATGATTAATAGGACTCCCCGTCCTATTTTAAAGAACAAAACACCATGTGAAGTGCTATTTGAAGTTTCACCAGATTATAGTGACCTTAGGGTCTTTGGATGTTTGGCTTATGCAACAAATACTGATGAGCATAAGACCAAGTTTACACCAAGAGCAAAGAAGTGTGTCTTCCTATGATATCCCTTTGGAATCAAAGGATATAAAGTGTATGACACGGAACAACACAAAGTGTTTATTAGTAGGAATGTGAAGTTCCATGAAATGGTGTTCCCCTGCAAAGAAAAGGGTTCTAAGGAAGCAACTCCACAGACTGAGAAGAGCAACCCTGTCCCTCCTAGAGTGATGATTTTGAAAATATTTTTCCACCGGATAACAATGTCCATCAGACCAATGACTGAGATTACACACCATTTTCACCTCTAACAACACCAACAACATCGTCTCCATCAACCAGGAGCCCTCACACATACATCCCCATCTCAAAGTTCAGGTTCACTCCCTATTGCACTTTGGAAGTTTAGGGGCTTTCATCACAATCTTTTTACTACTACCAATAAGGACATAGAGCCTGATATGCCATACCCCATATCTAAACATTTCTCAGCAAACACTTTCTCCTTCTCTTAGAACCTTTGCTCTTAACATTACCACTATCCCAGAACCTCAAACCTATGCAAAAGTTGGCACTGACCCTAGGTGGAACAAGGCAATGAATGAATAATGGAGTGCACTAGAAAAGGATAAAATTTGGAAGATTATTGATCTACTAGAGGGCAAGGTTGCAATAGGGCCAAAATGGGTCTACAAGACCAAGTTTAAATCAGATGGAGATGTTGAAAGACTAAAGGCCAGAGTGGTAGCAAATGGATATACCCAAGTTCATGGGATTGATTTTTGAGACACTTTTTCCCCAGTAGCGCCAAGCAGAACTCTATGAAGCTCTTTATTGGTTTAGCAGTAGCCAAACAGTGGCACTTACATCAAATGGATTTAAGCAATGCATTCTTGAATCATTTTCTAGATGAAGAAATCTATATGGAATTTCCCCCAGGGCTCAATAAGTTACCACGGTACAAATGAAAAGTTTGTAAACTCAAATTATTGCTACCAGATAGTTAGTTCGCTAACGGATATCATACAAACTTATAACTTGAAGCTCAAGAAACAACACAACACCCTAGGAACTAGTTATCATCGATTCCTAAATCCCAATTACAACTCCTAATGACTATGAATGAATATATATTCATGTTCAACGAAATCGACATGCCAACCATAGAGCACAGGTAAATACAATTGTTTTATTGATGATTAATAGGTATACAACACATACGAGAAGTCAAATAGAAAAGTTTAAGAAATCAAAAATGCCCGATGGTATCACACAACGATTATATCCTTAACGGACAATAAATTAAGGACACGAAAGAAGAAGAAAAAAGCTAGAAAGACACGATACCACAAAACAACAACAAGTCAACAACAACAACAAATAGAAGAACTCACATGGAACAAAAGCCACATCCAAATTACACAAACGACCATGTCACCTTCAAATCACCCTGTTCCCCAGAAGCCACCCCGAGCGCATCCCACACGGCCTTGGAAACATCCACGACGTTGTTGGGACACGGCGGCTGGTAATCGTGCTCGCCGTCGCAGCCCTCCGTCGAATCGCACTCGTCCACCACCTTCGCCACCACGCTCCTCCCGTTCCCCGCCGTAATCCTGATCCTCTGAAAGCAGCTCTTCCTGTTGTTGAACCAGCCGCTCGACAGCGCCACGACCCGCTCCTCGTCCCCATGAAACTTGTGGTCGCACTCCGACGCCCCGCCGCCGTCTTTACCCTTCTCGAAGCTGTTGAGGGTGAGGACCGCCTTGGTCTGCCTGGTGACCGGCGGCGAGCACTTGTACGTCGTGTACAGCTTACCCTCCACGCAGCACTCGGAGTTGTTGATCCGATTGCATTTCTTTGGCGGAGGCTTCTTGCCTCGGAGCTTGCCGCTCGGTGAACAAGTTTGAGGTTTCGCCTCCACATCAACGTCGAGGCCGCCGAGGCTGCTGGCGATAATGAGAGCCAAGAGTAGAATGGAAATTGGACTCCTCATACTTGTAATGAATGTTGGTTGGGTGGATGGATGGATGGATGGATGGATGGATGGATGTTTATGTGGGAGTAAGGCCTATTATATAGTGGTATACAATTGGATGTTAACATTTTTTTATTAATAATTCGAGTTATTGAGATTAACTGGTTTATGATATATAGTATAAGTAGTGTTGGTTTGGTTAAGAGCGTGTGTGTTGGAATTTATACGATCCCAGTATAAACAGTTTATTAAAACGCAGGGTGTGGTGGGCATGTGCAAACTTCAAACTTGTGACTTGGCTCCCATAAGATCCATAATAACCTTCTCCTAACCAATGCAGTCAAAAATGCGTTTCGGTATTGAAGCATTTTGGTGACCTAGGAGCATAATAACGTAATAAGGTTTTAAAAGCGTGATTTTGAATACATTATTGCACAAATTGCAGCGCGATTCTATACGTAGATGCATTATGTTGATCTAAAAGCGTATAAGTGCAAAATTAAAGCGTGACTTTGACTATATTGCTCATAACAACTCGAGTTATTGGGGTCAAATGATTAAGAAAGATGCTGATTTATGAGAATAAGAGTGGCAATTCGAGGGAAAAGTTATCGTCTGCAATCTGCATCGGCGGGCGGGTGAGTACTAATTAGTTTCAAACTTTTGTTCTTGAATTTATGGATGAATCCAGTATCTAGATAACAACAAGAGCATCAGAAGACGCAGAATGGCAGAAGTGCCGCTAAGATTCTTCTCACAGTAACCAAAGTAACAGTTGGAATTTCTTGTCCTGATCCCTCCCTTTGAAGCGAGGCACTAGGCAGCTAATCCAATAAACTTCTCTTCCTGACACTTGCTGTGTTAGGCAGTCACTTGGTTAGTTGTCAAACTAACGACCGATAGTTTCACGACCGGTTTAGTATTATTATGAGCAAGGTTGTCAAATTGGTTTGTACAATCGGTTTGACAAGTGAAATGGTACTACTGGTGGTATAATTGATTTGTGGCAATTTAACAAAATACGTGAAAATGTGAAAATCATTAAATTCAATGAAATTAATCATATATAAAGCATATTTCATGACAATTTGCTTCTAATCTAACAAATAACATCAATTTTTGACTTGTAAATTCATGAAATAAATTAATTTTTTTTATTAATTAAGTTCACTAAAACAACGTCATTTTGCTTAGTGTCATACTCCCCACAACAGCAACTAAATAATAGTATAATACTAAAGGACTTATCATTGCGTGTTTTTCTTTTTTGTTGTCAACTAACGTGAGTACTAAAATCCAAGGAGAAAATACAAGTTCAATATAATTTTTCTTTGGGTATATGCCCAAAAATAGCCAAACCAATTAAGTTGTGGACAGAAATATATAGCCAAATCATTATGAAATTCAATAAAATAGCCAAATCTTTTTACAGTGAGATAGACAATTATAGTTATCCATTAACTTTTCGTTAAATTTAATAAGATGGACTAATGGATTATGAGGCGCTAAAAAGTTGAGATCCTGTGTTGTGGAACTCACCGGCACAAAATCTGGGTCGGGTCTGGTCTTCACACTTCTTTAGACTCACTTCCTCGATCGAGACAACGATTGAAACCGATTGATAACATTGACTAGTAGACTGTATACTCCAACAGTGTATTCCTTATTTATTCATACAAAATTTTACACAAAATACATCTCGTGGTCACAGAATTATTGATAAACATAATAAATTACCAAATGAACAGTCAAACAAATGTGATTTCGCGAATCATCAACTAAAAAAACTTCTGGGTGCAATCCGTGGGCTTGAAGGACAAAGTGTGCTTCTGGAGGTCGTACCCGACCCTGAAATTCTGCTGCGCAACATTCCCGTAGATGCTCACGTCGTCGTTACCATAAAACGCCAAACAAGCCACCGTATCGCTGACCTTAATGAAAACATTTTCCATAGTCAGCGCCACGTCAGCTCCCTTGAAATGCGCCGTGATCGATGGCACCTTGAGTTTCGGCCCGGACTCGTAGCACAGGCTCAAATTGTTGAAGGTTGAAGAACAGCAGCAGGCTTGAAGGAATCCGAATCCTTTCAGGAGAAGGATTCTGTATGGCGCCAAGTTCAAACATCAGAGTCAAATAAGTGAAACGCTGTCGTTTCAGTTAGTGAGTCAGTCGAATGTCTTTTGTCTGTTTTAGTCCTCATTTGTGTAGTTAGTTCATTTGAGTCCTGTTAGTGGTTAGTCTTGTTAGAGAGTTTGTAGTTGTTAGTTGAGTGATGGTTGCTGATTTGTAGGAACCATAAGTCAGAGAGTGGAGGGTCGTGCGAGGTCATGTTGAGGCTGAAGCACAGGGGTTTATATTCTCGTTATTCATCAATTAATAAGATTGTCAGATTGCAATACATTGAGTTAACATTGTGGTATCAGAGCTCAAGCAAGCTGTAACCAGAAAAGGCTTTCAAGCAAAAGAGTGATAGAAGCTTTCAAGCAACGAGTGATAGAGATAGGAGTCTGTTTGAAAAGTGCAGACAGGGTTGGGAAACACGAGTGATCTTGTGAGGTGTGTTACATCAGGGTGAGTGCAAACTACTGTCAAGTAGTTGTGAATCTGGTAAGATGAGTGATTCAGGGAGCTTTGCTCAAGTAGGTCTTCCTCGCTTTGATGGAGACTATGATCACTGGAGTCTTCTTATGGAGAATCTGTTGCGGTCGAAGGAATACTGGCCTGTGGTTCGTGATGGTTTGAAGGAACAGAAGGAGGGAGAAGAAGTGTCTGAGGCTGAGATCAAGGCAAGGGATGATCAGCTGCTCAAGGACTTGAAGGCAAAGAATTATCTCTTCAACTCCATTGACAAGTCCATACTCAGGACTATTTCCAATAAAGGTACTGCTAAAGATCTATGGGATTCAATGAAGCTGAAATATCAGGGCAATGCTAGGGTTCAGAAATCAAATCTGCAGGCTTTAAGAAGAGATTTTGAAATCATAGAGATGAAAGAAGGTGAATCTGTGAATGGATACTTTAGCAGAATCATGACTATAGCAAATGCCATGAGAAACTGTGGGGATGAGATGCCTGATGTGAAAATTGTAGAGAAAGTACTCAGAACCCTCACAGACAAGTTCAATTATGTGGTTTGCTCCATTGAAGAGTCTAAGGATATTGAGGAGTTATCTGTTGATGCTCTTCAAAGTTCTTTGGTTGTTCATGAGCAAAAATTCAGAAAAAGAGGGTCTGCTGATGAGGATCAGGTGCTCAGAACCACTCATGAGTTTGGCAGTAGGGGAGGAAGAAGTCAGGGAGGTAGAGGCTTCTTTCCAGGAAGAGGAAGAGGAAGGAGTGGTGGAAGAGGCTGGAATAGAGATTCTGTGGAGTGCTATAAGTGTCACAAGTTGGGACACTACAGGAATGAGTGTCCAGAATGGTACTCAAATCAACAGGTTCATTACTCTAGTACCAGCTTCACTCAAGACACCAAGGCCTATGGAGATATGAAAGATGACATGTTGCTGATGGCTTTTGTGGAGGAGGACTCACAGAAAGAGGCAGATTCTGATTGGTGGTTCCTTGACTCAGGCTGCTCAAACCATATGACTGGAGAAAAGAAATGGTTCACAGAGTTGGATACTGGCTTTACTTGTAATGTCAGACTTGGCAATGATACAAGACTGAATGTAGCTGGGAAAGGGAGTGTGAGGCTGATGGTTAATGAGCTGTCAGTAGTGGTTCAGGAGGTGTTCTATGTGCCAGGGCTCAAAACTAATCTATTGAGTGTTGGCCAGTGGCAAGAGAAGGGCTTATCCTTCTTGATTCAAGAGGGTTTCTGCAAGATTTTCCATAAAGACAAGGGCCTCCTGCTACAAACAGAAATGAAAACAAACAGAATGTTTGTGCTTCACACCACAGTCAGGAAGGAGAAACAAACTTCTAATGTGCAATGTCTTCAAACTGGGAGTGACTCAGAGTCACAACTGAACCTGTGGCACAGGAGGTTTGGGCATATCAGTCCTCAGAGTCTTCAGCAGTTGCAGAAGAAAGAACTAGTGCAAGGGTTGCCACAGCTTCAAGGCAGTACAGGAGTGTGCAGTACCTGTCTGACTGGGAAACAACACAGAAACTCCTTTCCAAAGAAGAGTCAGTGGAGGGCATCTCAAAAGCTGCAGTTGATCCATGCAGACTTGTGTGGTCCAATAACACCAGCCTCAAACAGTGGCAAGAGGTATATTTTCACCCTAACTGATGACTATAGCAGGAAATTATGGGTGTACTTCCTAGCTGCTAAGTCAGAAGCTTTAAACTGGTTTAAAAAGTTTAAAGTTCAGGTTGAAAAGGAAAATGGAGTATATATCACATGTCTTAGAACTGATAGGGGAGGGGAGTTCATGCTGACTGAGTTCAAAGACATGTGTGATGAAGCTGGCATAAGGAGGCAATTGACAGCTGCTCTCACTCCACAGCAGAATGGAGTAGCTGAGAGGAAAAATCGAACAGTGATGAATATGGTGAGATGTATGCTTCAGGATACTCATGTACCTGCTGTTTTCTGGGCTGAAGCAGTTACCTGGGCTACACATGTGCTCAACAGGAGCCCTACAAGTGCTAATCAAGGAAAGACTGCTCAGGAGCTTTGGACTGGAAATCCTCCATCAGTTCAACATTTCAAGGTCTTTGGCTGTGTAGCCTATGTTCATACTCCTGATCAAAGAAGAAAGAAGTTGGACAGCAAGAGTTCACAGTGTTATTTTCTTGGAGTATCAACTGAGTCTAAAGCATATAGACTTTTTGATCCTGCTACAAAGAAGATTGTAGTGAGCAGGGATGTGGTGTTTGATGAAGCCAAGGGTTGGATGGAAGGCTCAGCAGAGGGAGAAAGTTCTAAGCTGGCTTGGGATGGAAGTGATGAGTTATGGGATTCCTCAGACACTGAGGAAGAGGTCACTGCAGACACTGAAGTTGATGTCAGTGAAGAACCTGAGAGTCCAAAAACACCAGCAGTTGAAGAATCTGAGCATGAACCTGAT